TCCATCTTCTCTAAATTCACCCAGTTTGTGATACAATCCTTACCCAGCCTGTTAGTATCATAGAGTCAGTGGCGTACCGACCCCTGCAACCGGGCCCCTCACTCAAGGGGGCCTGGCCACAGCCACGACCTCTGCGACCGTGGATCGCCTGCACACCCTCTGGGCCGGTGCACAGACACACCGGCCCAGGGACCGCGCTTGTCAGCAGGAGGGGAGAGTTGTGCTGTGCTGCTCCCCTTCTGCCCTGTGTGTAGTGCAGCTGAGCGGTCTGACAGGAAGTGATCATTGAGAGAGCACTTTCTTTTTTGACTGGGAACCGTGGTGGGCAGTCAGCAGGTACAGGAGGGGGATGACACCCAATGAGTGGCTGGGGAGGGAGATTTGGTGGTGACAAACATGGAGAGGCTGAGGAGTTTGTGGGTGACACACATGGAGGGGCTGGGAAGGGGGATTTGGTAGTGACACATGGAGGGGCTGGGGGACATGAGGTTCACAAACATGGAGGAACTAAGGGGGATGTGGGTGACACATGGAGGGGTTGGGGATAGGGGTTTGGGAGGGACACACATGGAGGGGCTGGGGGGGTTGTGGGTGACGCATGGAAGGGTGGGGAGGGGGTTTTGGGAGTGACACACATGGAGGGCATGGGGAGGGAGTTTTGGGGGTTATACACATGGAGGAGCTGGGGAGGGGGATTTGGGCGTGACACACATAGAGGGGCTAGAGAGGGGGATTTGAGTGTGACACACATGGAGGGATAGGGAAGGGGATTTGGGTGTGACACACATAGAGGGGCAGGTGGTGTTTGGGGTGGCTCACATGAGGGTTGGGGGTGACACACATGAAGGGGCAGGTGGTGGGGGGATCACATATGGGGGGCTGTGGGGGTTGGAAATGACACACATGGGGAGCTGGGGGGATTGGGGCTGACACACATGGAAGGGCTGTCATTGGGTATGACACACATGGAAGGGATGGGGGAGTTGGGAATGACACACATGGAGGGTCTGGGGGAGTTGGGAATGACATACAAAGAGGGGCTGAGGGGGGAAATGAGATGCAGGGAGGGTCTGGAGGGAGTTTTTTTCTCAGATTAGCTAGAACCCCATATTCAAAAATATTGCATTGATATTAGGGAGGGAAATCGCGGGTTGGCTCACTTAAAACATCAAGTCGTAAGAGGAGACCGGGTTTAGTACTCTGATGATGTTATCTTTGGCCTCCCAATATGGAATATTTTTTAACAACTGTGGGGGCCATCATAGTGTTGTTAATTGCACTACTACCCCCTGAAACACTTGCTTAGTGCTATAGAAAGTTAAGTATGCATAATTGTCTGAATCACTTCCTGGTTTGTTGAGAGCTCAGTGTACATGCTAAAAAGTGTGGGATATTGAACTAAATGAGGCAATGTCGAATATAAGTATTTTCTATATTTGCATCACCTTAATTGATTGTGCTTACATATATTTAATGCATCATCTATCACTTTATTTTATCTTATGCATTCAAAATCACTTTTAATCTTGCATTGCTCCTAGAATGAGACATAATTTGAGTAATGTGAACAATTTCTGATTACATGGGCTGTTCCACAACCACACCCCAATCATGAGAGCTACTTAAATATTAGTCAATCTATACTTTGTCAACTTTATTTAACTTGGAAGTTTAGTAATATCTTGTAGAATGTGAGCTACCTTGATAATGCTGGGAAGGATTGTGTTTCTGAACTAGAAAGGTGTAGGAGTATTTTAGAAATGAGCTTATGTTTAAATGCAAACATTTTTTTTACTTTTGTTTCTCAATCTTTTCTTTTTATCTCCCTAGTGAACTTTGTACCATAATTAAACCTTTTTATTTTATTCCAACCCATATTATGTGTAATATGCCCTAATGTCTACACAAGTTAGGTCCTGCCCATCCATCCATTTGCAGTAAAACCTGCAAAGAAAGAGGTTTTATTTATCTGGATCCAGCACTGGTTAAAGCTCCTGGCTTCTACGCTCCCTCCAAACATCACAAGGGCCAATGGACCAATCAACCATTCAGCCAGCTCAGAGAACATGTCCAGAATCTGAGCCAACAAGGGGAGATGTTGTTTTTTTAATTTAAATCAATGACCTTCCCCCTGCTGACGATAGATGCAAAATATGCGGAGAATTGACATTCTGGGCTGCCTTAGTCACCTGTGCTGGTGGTGCAACTAGCCCCCAGCAGACAATTGAAAATAATTCATTATGTGCAGTGTTTAAAGCTGAAACATTGCACATTTATACTTCTGAGGTGGTCATGGAGTAACCCTTGAAAAAGATTTTTTTAACTTTTATTTGAACTATTACTTCTTCTAATAGGAGCAAAACAAAATATTCAAATGCATGGCCGATGCAAGTATTTTTGGCTAAACAGGCATTTTGCCCTCACACACTTACCCCCGTTCACCCCCAAAAATAAATGCATTTTCACCTGTGTCACTTTCTTGCTCCTTTTGCTTTTTTTGCACCCCCCTCCCAGCCCCACCCCTTTGTGTGTCTTGTTCTCAACACTGCCCAATTTGTGTGTCTCTTCCCTCCAACACCTTGTCTCTTTCTTCCCCAGCCTCTCCATGTATCTTATCTGCCCCATGTGTCTCATAACCCAAGCCCCCCTGTGTCTCAATTTCTCTCTTAAGCCCCTCCATGTGCTCATTCCGTCCCCACAGTCCCTCCATGTGTCTCATTCCACCAGCCATCCATTTGTCTCAATCCCCCAGCACCCAATATGTAAAGTCAGCTAAGTTAGTTTTGTCTGAAATTTGAAGTGCGCTTTGAATTCCCAAAAGTTAACACTTTCCATGTGATTTCACTTTTTTTGTGAGTAATGTTCTGTCATGGCTTCTGTCACTATTATACTATTATTTGTAGATGTACAAGAATGCACATGAAAATGAGAGTCTCCCATGATTATTAGTGACTGTCATCTACCATACAAATATAAGGCATGGGGACAGGCCCCACAATGAAGAATATTGTGTTCATACATATATAAATACATATATAGAGAGAGACAGCAGACAGATAGACAAATGAAATTCTAAAGCAGACTAAACATAGATTAAGATAGTATATCTAGATTATTGTTGTGCACTAAGCACTTAACATCTCCCCTTCCCCCTTCCCAATCTGTAATCCTCCCAATGCAGTGGTCTCAGGGGTTAAAATGATGTTCATCTTTCATGAATAAGCTCCAATCTTTGTTAAAGAGCATCAAGATAGTATAAAGAATAGCTGTACAAAATATAACATCTCCTACATAAACCTCATTTGATCAAAATCAGATTGAAGATAGATAAGCACCAAATTTTCTAACATATCTAATTGATACATAGATCAGTATGACATAGAGCTGTTATGATGACCATCTGTATAGGAGAAGCTCTGATATAACTGGGAGTAATTAAAATGTTCACAGTATAACATGATTTATTATCATTTCACATTCATGAATTACTGTCCACGTGTTGCAAAAGAGAAGAATGCTCTTAGAGGAGCACTGCAGGGTCACTGTAAACACTGTTATGGTGCCCCCTCTCTTCCCCCCTTAAATAGTGTTAAAACGTACCTTTATTCCAGCTTGCTCCACCCCAACCCAGTTTCCTTGGCTGAAATCATTAGAACTGAAAAGCATTGGATTGGCTGAAGTTGTAAATTCTGATGATCTTAGCAAAGGAGGCGGTGTGTAGGACAGAGCCAAATGCCGTGCTGGCCAATCAGCATCAATACATCTCTATAGGGAAAGTTCAGTGTGTCCATGCAGAGCGTGGGGACACTGTAACCCAGGGACCACTTCTAGTGAAAAGACAGTGTTTACATGAAAATGCCTGCAGGGACATAGTATACTTACCAGATCAACTTGATTAAGCTGTAGTTGTTTTGGTGACTATGGTGTTTCTTTAATATGAAAGAGTTGAGTGATAAACCGTGAAAGGAATCTTCACAATCTATACACATTTAACATGAATCTGAACTCAAACGCTGCAGTCACCTCCTGTCCATATCCACATTTATAAAGAAAGGAACATAAAATAGAAGGTTAAAAACAGGCACTAAACTTCAAAAATTAAACCAATGCAGCTTCAAACCACCTCAATGTATTGTCACTTCATACACTGTGTATAAGCATAAAGTGAAAAGATAAAAAGGTGAAAGCGTAAACTCTCGGTTATATTTTTTACCTTTTTGTTAAGTATTCACAATTGGGCCCTATTCCCTGTTATAGCATTTAACTGTGGACCCGGTATACAGTAAATATAAAACATAACATAGTGTATACTGTTGTAACAAAAATAGAATGTAGTGAAAAGAAATGGCACACTCACAATTTTCAGAGCCAAATAAGTTAGGCTCTGAACTATAGAAGCATTTCATCCACTTATTGGGATAGCGGGGTCTAGTTGTTCCTCCCAGATTAGCAGGCTTGGAATCTTTTTCAGGAACTCAGGAACCAGATGTAGTTTGTTTAAAAAAGGAATTTATTACATCAATTAAAAAATAAAAATAGCTAGCACAATGCATTTCGATCTTATGTGGTTTTCCTCAGGTTCGGCATGTCTTACCACTGGCCAGCTCACCTATATATACCCCCCTGCCAGGTATGGAAACAGTTGTGGCTACTACCTTGGTAAATTAATGCCCAAATATGGCCATAGCCGGAAGTTATATATATACCTGGACTTTTAAAGAGGATGAATATTGACCTTTAACCAATTTTCACTTTAATGTGTACCTAACACCATACAGACATGATTACGTGGCCACATAAATACTTAAAACTGCTAGTAAAGGCAGACTTGCAAGCAAATAAATAAATATTTGTAAAAATGGTGGCTTTACACTGAGATTGTTATATATAAAAGGGCAGGTGGGTGAAGTCCCACTGCCACAGTCACCCTCATATACAGACAGCACCCTGTCGACCCTATATATTGTATTTATTTACAACTACTTTTTTTATATACGTAACTTCACTATTAGCTGCATGATTTTTTTTAAAGGTTTTTCTGACCAACCAACATTTTCATTTTTATTTTCATTACATAATGTGTTATCAAAGCACACTGAAACAAATATACACTTAAATATTACTTTCTTGGACACCCACAATACTCTGATCCTGGTAGCGCTTTAATCATGGGTGATTTAAAAGAAAAAAATACAGATTTCTCGGTTGCCGGAATAAAACTGTTCAATTAATTTTACGGCCTGAACAATGCATTTTTAATACCTAATGCTTTGCCAACTCTAGCCAGATTTAGCTACAGCGTTAAACAAACATCTTGGTAGAACAACTGCTTAATATCTAGTCATTTCTGTGTTACAAATATTTAGCCAGTAGAGGGCACCAGAAAACCAAATTTCCACTATAATCCTGCCCTTGTTATAGAAGAGAAAAAAAAAAGGCATCACAAATACTAAAGCCCAGCTTCTCAGTCAGAGAAACTCAAGGTCAATGTATGATTTATTGCTATGAATAAGATTGAGTGTTATTTTTGGAATATGTGGCTCAGAGGGAAGAAAGGTAGGTATCTTCTGGGAAACTGGTGATCGCTTCTTGGGAAGATTGGATGCAGAGGTATTTCCAAATCTCCAGCACGTTAACAAGTGAGTAGATTCGAGGTTTTTGGAAGACTTAACATGATGTGATGTATTTTAGCCTTGCTGTGATATGGACTTGGATGGGGGCAGGGTGAAAGCCTGGAGTACGGATGAGACATGATCTGTCACATGCTGTTAGTGTATCCCTAGATGTATCATTGTTTGGATGATACATTCTTACATTGGAGTTTTGGAAATAGACAAATCTGAACACAGCTATTCAGTGGAGCTTCAGTTCTTGGATACAAGGGGTCTGCTTGAGGGATGTAGCTTCTTCCCTACCAAGTTGGTCAGGGTCTTGGACCAGCCATCTGGCCATGAGGAATGAGAAGTGAAGGACAGGCTTTCCAACAAAGATTTCTTCTGATAAGGTTAATCTACAGCTTGAAGGATATTCCTGCCGTGACCTTGGGACAAGCTCTTTAATTTGTGGAGATTGTAGAGGTGGATGTCCTCCGTGGCTGGTGTGGCAGGAATAAGGAATTCAGAGAGGGACAGGGGAATACTATAGAAATAGGTCACTTGCGCTGGATGTCCCTCTGCTGCTATCCTAGAGGGTCTGTCAGGTGACAGTTTCCTTAGGTGACTTTTGGACGACGAGCAAGGGCTGGGGGGTTGGAATCGTCTCCTGAAGTCATGATTCACCCTGGTTCCTTTCCAAATTCTTCAAGCCCACCTGCACTGTTTACCTGCTACAGTCAGCTGCATGAGGTCTTGAGCGGTGTGGTAGGTAGTCTATCTGGTATGTGCGGTGTCTGTGCTGTGTGAGTGTTGTGTTATATGTGCGCTGTGTAGTAGGTAGGTGGTATGGTAAGTTTGCTAGGTGGTAGATGAGTTTTGTGATATATGTGCTGAGACGTATGTGTGCTGAGAGGTGTGAATGTGTGCTAGATTGTGATTTGTGATGTGTGGTAGATGTGCTTTGATATAGGTTTTTTGTGTGGTATGTGTACTATGTGGTATGTATGACATATGATTCATGGTAGGTGTACTATGTGGTAGGTGTGTGGTGGTATGTGTGTTGTGTGGTAGGTGTGCTGTGTGGTAGGTGTACTGTGTAGTATTTTTTTATGTGGGGTAGGTGTGTTGTGTGGTATCTGTATTGTGTGGTAAGTGTGCTGTGTGGTAGGTGTACTGTGTAGTATTTTGGATGTGTGGTAGGTGTGCAGTGTGGTATTTTCGATGTGTGGTAGGTGTGCTGTGTGGTAGGTGTTCTGTGGTATTTTTGATGTATGATATATGTGTGCTGTGTGGTAGGTGGATTGTGTAGTATTTTTGAAGTGTAGTAAGTGTGCTGTGTGGTAGGTGTGCTGTGTGGTAGGTGTGCTGTGTGATATGTGTGCTGTGTGGTATGTGTGTTGTGTGGTAGGTGTGCTGTGTTGTAGGTGTACTGTGTAGTATTTTTGATGTATGATATATGTGTGCTGTGTGGTAGGTGGATTGTGTAGTATTTTTGAAGTGTAGTAAGTGTGCTGTGTGGTAGGTGTGCTGTGTGATATGTGTGCTGTGTGGTATGTGTGTTGTGTGGTAGGTGTGCTATGTTGTAGGTGTACTGTGTAGTATTTTTGATGTATGATATATGTGTGCTGTGTGGTAGATGTGCTGTGTGGTAGGCATGCTGTGTTATGCCAGTGCTAAGTATCATGTCATGTTACTGTATAATGTGCAATGTGATTTTCATAAAGATTTGTATATGCACCATTTTATGCTAAGAGATTATCGTTTGTCATGTTATGGTGCCTGCTGTAACCAGCAAAGCAGATTTTGTCAGGAACATGCATTTCTCTCTACTTTATTGTAAGTTGGTCACATATCCTATCCTGCTCAGTAAGCATTAGAATGTCTCAGTGTGTAAGGAGTTATGGTGGATAGCAGCTGCAATGAAAGATTTCTTGAAATTCTGTATTGTGCTAAATGATTTGGGCACTCTGTCTGACTTACTGACAGGGGAAAATGGTGTTTGTGTAGAGTTAAAGGTAGCTTTGGGATGACCTGTCCCAGGATCAACAAGAAGTGCACCAGTTTCTGCTGGAGATAACTTGCATTGCAGGGAAGAAGTCATTGCTCTGTGTTTGTGTTCTGAGTGAGTGTGTATATGTTACACACAGAGTTGGTAAGACAACTGGGATAGGAGGAGTAATAGTGAAGTGACTTCTACAGAAGTAATAAAAATGCCCTTCATTTGATCAGGAAGGGGTTAATTCTTCTCTCCGCCCCTGAACAGGCTGATCTCTGGGAGCCAAACCCACATGCTATGGTATAAGGGAGATGGATCTGTGGGAGCCTATAAAACCCCTCAAAAAGAAGCCTTTTGGCTGACACTCAAACATTGGCACTCAAAGAGGGCAATTGTCCTGCAGGAAGAACTAACAGCAAAAGGGAATGGCACATGTATGGGGATATGGTCCTGACAATGGTGAGTGATGGGTGCAAATGTCATGTCAGTGTGCTTCTATACAGAGGGTTCCTGCTGTCAGAATGTGCTTAACTGTGACAACCTATGGCATATTACTGTTCTTTTTGTAGAATGTTAAAACAAACTTGCAGCTAACGGGGCCTGAAGAGCTTGGGCAAACTGAGTGAATTTTAAGAGTAATTTAATTCATCGATACATACCTTGGGCAATATCTGTTTCATTTATAGCATATCGAAGCATAGATACAGTTAATATAGTTACTGTATAGCAGCAATAACCACGCTGACAAATGTGCGTCTCAAAAAAAATGGAAAAAATTTCAGATGCCATTATTTTAATTGCAATTCCCAACACTGCAATCTGCAAAAGTAACTCACCATGTTAATGTACAGGCTGCAGTAATGAATATACCAGGCTCCTCTACTTGTAGTTGAAAAGCTGCTTTGAAAAGTGATACCTTCGCCAGATACAGATATATATATACACACATACATACACACGTACACATAAGAGTGTGCATATTGTGAATGCATCAGCCTCTCTCCATGCAGTTCCTAAAAGTGTAAGATAATTTTTTTCCTAATTATTTTGGAATTTATTGTCTAATGCATGATTCACTATAGGAAAAAGGTTTGTTGCGTGAATGATGATCTTGCGTTCCTTATTTTTCCATGTTTGACCTTGAAATGTATAAAGTGACAGCAATGCAATCTGTTTATTTTATCCGTAGTAGTTCTTCAAACTTCCTATTTTCTATTCGATCTTAAATTATTCATATCCAATAAAGCAGTGTCATTAGATATCATTCTAGGTACATGACATCCCAACATATGGAGGCAAAGCAAGAATGTATCCTGAATCAGTTAATATTATTAGAGAGTTTGCATTGCACATTGCTCCGGCTAATCCAGTATTAACTTTGAAATAGGTACTGATTAAACGTTAAAAAAACATTTCACGACATGTTAGCATATTCTGCTGGATTTGACCTTGTGGAACCTTGACAGATATGACAGGTTTCTTTGCAATGTCACTACACTGGAAAAGAACAACATTTGTTGAATATAAAAACGACGACTGCTTATAAAATAGACATTAATTTTGTTGACTGTCTCAATGTTCTAACATACCTTGTCTTGGTATTAGACATATTGTATAGTGTGTACTTGTAAAGCTACGTGAGAACTAAAAGCTAACTGACTTTTAAACTCTTGAAAATAGTAACCCATTGATAATCGTTAACATAAGTTTTGCATGATGGACTGATGTGTTTTAAATTTTGCCTCAATTTTTAAATTGACCTGGCCTTAGAGATAGAGCAGGATTGTTTAAATTACATTGAAGCAGGTGTTTCCTGTAAGAAGAACAGCAACTTTGACGCACAGTATGGGGGGATTCAAGTTTGTATGATGCCAAAAAAATCTCACAGTGCATGTTGATGGTGAGTAAGTGTGACATTCAATAGAATGAATTGTGGCGAGATGTAAGTAAGTTCCAAAATTTAGACAATAATTAAAAATTAGCTTAAAAACTAAAAATCTTTCGCTTTAGGTGAACTGGAAAATTTCAAAACTTGTGTAATTGGCACAAAATCCCTAAGTTAAGTTGGTAATGAATTGCTGCAAACCATTTTTAAGGCACCCAAAATGTTGAATGAATGTTGAATGGTTTATGTTACTACCATAACTGGGTAGAGCTCCCTGCTTCGGTTTAGTTCTATATTTTCAGATTTGAAATTAACAACTTTACACAGAAAGACCACCTCTTTTAAAGCATGTTTAAACTGCTTTCACTCCACTACTGGCATTAAGAATAACTTCAAGCTACAGTTTATGAAAAGATCTAATTGTTCATGTTTATAAACACAAAATAGATGTTTCAGAGAAATCTAACTTTTTTTATCTGTCTCTTATTAGGACCAGATACTTGGCACCACTCTTTCCCAATTGCCGAAGGAGATCATCAGTCCCCTATTGATATCAATACAAGTCAAGCCAAGTATGACGCGTCTCTTAAACCACTCAGCATCCATTATGACCCCTCAACAGCAAAAGTCATTCTGAATAATGGCCATGCTTTCAATGTGGAATTTGAAGATTCTGAAGACAAGTCAGGTGAGTTTCCAGTAGAACACTGAGGTATTGTGCTTGATGGTTAAACAGAAGTCATTCATAGTCAAAGGTGACTGCAGGAACATAAATTCGTTAGCAGGCACATTTCAAGGTTGTCCCTGTCTTATCTACAGAAAATATGCTGTGTAAACACAGCGAATACAAATGTGCAGACTGCTACTGTAATTGCATACCCAGCTCACATCACTGATATCTTAATGCAGCATGGAGATTGTTAACCCTTCAACTTCTTTTCAAACGCTCTTTATAACACAAACTTTAGAAAAAAGGAGATACAGGTTGGAAAAATCTAACTTTCAAGGTAAACGAGCAGTTACTTCAGTAGGGCAAAGCTGGGATGATTTGACAAGTGACTAGCAAAATATAGGCAAAAACATAGAGTTAAATACTAGGACGAAAATAAATCTAAGTTGTAATCTTCATTTGTCATTTTCATCATCAATGATTGCTCCAAAATAAACTGATAAAACTATTTCCGCTACATTTATCAGTTGCTTGTAAGATCACACAACATCTAAAATGTCCTCAGGGTGAAGAGAGAAAATTGATCCCAGTTTAATTATATTTGATATTTGGAATGAAAGACAAGTGCATAGGAGGTGATACTGTACTCCTGCCAGTTGCTCTACTCCTGCCCACTTAATTATACAGCGACGGAAGGAAAGTAACTGTGAAATCAAAGGATTCTTGTACATTACAAGCTTTTAACCCAGTTGCTCTTTTGGGATGTGATTGTAACAATTGAGATTGAAAAATGCCCTGTCCCCAAGGCATAATTTCCATCAATTTGTATCTGCAAGATCAGTGTCTGTTTAATGTAGGACACCCCAAAGTAGATAAAATGATGCAAATTAGAAGTAGATCTTTGATTAGCCCTGGAAATGTTTAATCTTCTGGTAATATTGTTTTGATACATTTCAGTTTAAGGATAAATTAATGATTAGCTTTCCTATAAGAATGAACACAAATGCTGAAAATAAAATTTGCTGCAAAAACTGAAAATGTGTCTTTGAGCAAAACTTATTTCATTACAATGTCTTTACAAAAGAGATCAACAACTTTGTGCGAAAAGAACACTTGCACTGAATTTGGTCTCAAAATACATTTCTGCTTTAATGGTAGAAACAAATGCACATCAGATGCATTTATTGGTAACACTTCATGATCATTAGGGTACTGTCAGAGGGGAAAAACAACTCGTATCTGACCAAGACATTGCCATTTTTTATGTGTCAATAGATTTGTTATTGTTCATACCAGATATGCTCATTTTTTATTATTGATATTATCATTTTCATTTGGTTTTTATCTGCATTATGGGACCAGATGAAATTATCGCCCCCTGGTACCTGCTGTATCCTAAGGTACAGTCAATGCAATGATTTCCATTTCTACTTTTACAGCCATAAATGTATATGTCTGATGTAGCATAATTATTTCTTTTTTTATTTTGACCAACATGCTAAGAATGTTTTGGAAAAATATTTGCACTACTTTCTTGAAAGTTCATTCATTCACCTACTTTGTTCAGTCATCAATCATTATTAAAGGGACAATGTAGGTGCTCCAACCCTCTCATCTTATTGAATTGGTGATACAGTTGAACAATGAATAGTAGTTCATGGTCATGGAAATCCCAGCCCCCACTGGAGGTATAGCTGGAGGTATAGCTTTGTAACTGCCTCATTTATTATTAAATTTCCCCCTTGTAACATTGTAAATCACTGCGTTATAAGTTGGCGCTATATTAACGCCAGTAATAAGAATAATAATTGCTGCTTGGGCTAAAACCTTCTCATTCCCCCAAGCAACTGAAATGGGACCGGCTGCCTATTACCTGCTTACCATTACCATTTAAAAATGGCTTAAAACTAAATGTAAGGACAGGGTCAGGGCACTCCAGGCACTATAACCACTTCAGCGGAATGTTACAGTGCCTAAAGTGTACCATTAAAGACCAAGGTGGCTTTGTATTGTCCCCAGAGATAGCTACAGATACTTAATTTTAATTTGTTATAGTAGGTATTGACAGGGCTTGTTCACTTGCCTCGCTTTTGTGACATGGCAGAGATTCTCATTTATCGTTTGTAGATAATGCCATATCTGACAAATCGTTCACACTATATTACTCGGGAACATTCTTTTATTTATTTAATGTATAAAAAAAAGCAATCTGTTAAATTGCCTTTTAGCATTCGGTTAATGACATCATTACCCTTCATTAGAGAAACCAAAATGCCCAAGGCACATTATTAATTTGTTTTTCTATTTTTCAAGCTACCAGATATGCGCCGTTGTTTACAACATTGTGTTCCTGTAATATTCTGAAAGCTATTTTGTTTATTTATTTTTTATTTTTTTATTTTATTGTAATGATTATTATATTGGGCAGTTTAAGGGTTTGTGTTCACTGGTATATATCTAAAAATAATTCCTCTACCATATGTCACGGGACCCGGTTGCTCCTCTATTCAAGTACAGGTATAGAATACCTGGGGGAAAAGAAACTGAATTGGGATTCTCCTACCTATTTGTCCAAACACTTCTAGTGATCTTTTGGAATTTGTACTGCTGTCCTTCATAAAGATGCAGACCTAACTTGTGTAAATATAACAGATGATTGAAGTACATTCAAACATGGTTCAAGTTCTGAAGATATTCTGAATGCTATTAATAACTATAAAACAATCTAATGAATAGCTGCTAAAATAATATAAAAAAACATGAAAACCCCTTATCATATACAGCATAAAACCATTTATGTTATGTAATAGTTCTTATATAGAGCTTTTATCCAGAGTGCTTTACAATTTAAACAAAAAGAGTGTTGGTCACTATACAAACAGGTTGATGGTGTGTAATTGGACACACTGATACACAAGGAGAAGAGAACTTTGTCTGTAGGCTTTAAACTCTGACGGTTTAGGTTTGTGAATTTACAATCTAGAAGGAAAACATGATAGTATATGTAATATGTAACATAATTCGAGAGGATGCCATTCATAATGGAATTAGCTACACTATGTACTAGAGTTATAGAGTTTCCAGAATTGGAAGTAGCTCTAAAAATATGTTTCCTGAAAGAATTTTGATGTTTGGAAAAGCCTTCCCACATGATTACACTGCGTAGGTTGTTGATCAAGAAGGAAATATACTCAAGTATATGGGTGGTAGTTTTTTTGACATAAGCTTTGAGCAGACTAGAAGGGCGAATTCTGATATTTATGCTGTCAGACTCTATATTTCTCTATTTAAGTGTTCTGTAGCCATGAGAACCAAACAACGTGAGAGAACCTGGAAAAAATTGTTTACGTTTTATCAGCTAGCTATTGTATAGAAGCTGAGCAAACAGCTCCTCCCTAGCAATGAGTTGTCAGTATAAAAATGACTATTCCATTGAATGCAAAATCCATCATTGACTGAAATGTTACAGGGGAATACCTAATGATTGAACAGTTGCACAACATAGGTGGTATTGATGAATCAGTGCATTGTAAAATATTTTTAACATATAGTAAAGTCAGTTGGGTTGTAACGAAACTGAAGTGCAGGTGTGGCTGTAATAGAGGGCTTATCTAAGGGAAGAATTAGTCTGTTAGGATCAGTTTATCTAAGGGGAAAGGCCCCATTCAACATAGCCCTGCCTACTGGCTAGGTGAGTTTATTAAAAAAAAATTTTAAAAAATCAATTAAAAATAATTTTAAAAAATAGGACACCTCTACATTATTTATTAACCTCAACAAATCAGTTGAAGGGCAGATATGAGTCTACATACCCCTGCAAATAGAGTGTTTTAGAATGATTTGCCCCTCTCTATTTTAGTGAGGTATTTGGGGGCCCACTTCATTCCTAATTTAATAGTCCCTTACTATTGTGTATGTAGTCCCTTGTGTATGGCTTTAAGGGATTTTGGAACAACCACTTTTTTTGATTAACATAACACCATAGTGTTAAAAAAACATGATGACCCCCTTAAATAACTAGAAAACTCACCTTACTTTCAGAATTGATGACCTCAGCCAATCACAATGCATTCTCATAGGAAAGCATTGGATTGGCTGAGATCATCAATTTTGATGATCTCAACCATGTAGGAGGGGCAGGGGCGGAGCCAAACACCTCCCTGGCAAATAAACATTGCCTCATAAGCATCACTATGGGGGAAAGTTCAACGTCTCCATGCAGAGTGTGGAGACACTGAACGTCAGTGCTGCACATTGAGCAGCAATGACCCATAAAGAATTTCTAGTGGCTGTCTGAGGAGTGGCCACTAGAGGTGTTTCTAGGCTAGTATTTCTAGTATTTACATACTGCTAGTATTTACAAAAGTCAGTAGGGACTGATTATACACAACAGAACAACTACATTAGGCTGTAGTTGTCCTGGTGACTATAATGTCCTTTTAAATATATATATTTTTTTTAATTGTTTGTGAATTTTTCATGTTGGAAATGGCAAAAACAAACACAAAAAAAACCTACAAATCCAAAACAAAGCCTCCAAATACAGCTATGACTTTTAGGGTTTATTTTCCTAGAAATTTATTAAAATCATTACAATCATCACACATGAAGCAGCAATGTTCTGTTTATCAGCAACTACATTTGTAATAAATATTTAGAATCCGAGTCTTTTGGTGTTGAAAATGAATATGCTAGAAAAATAGATATGTTGTTCTTTATAAATATATTTCCTGGAATGAATGCAATATCAATGTTATATTATTATATAAAAGATCAGGTTTAAGACTATGAGAGTTTGCAGGAGCTACATCCAGTTTTTTAATAAATGTTTTATTGATGTGTAGCAGATTCCATTCTGAGCTGTCAGACAAGTTCCACAAAGTCTTTCTCTGCTGTTTAAATATCTGAGTTGAGAGTCGGAGCAGGATTGTGTCTTGTTAAAATGCTGGAGCTTATTTATTGGGTTTTTTCTGTGGCAGGGAGTTCATGTACTCTAGAGTATTATGTTAAGTGTACTTGATAATTACCTGACACCATGGTGCTCCCTGGGTCTCAAGGTAATGTTGATTACATCCAGCTTTTACCCTCCATCAGTTACAATAATCAGTAAGTAAGTGTCCACAAATACACAACTTGTCAAGTAATAGTTCTAGTGTGCGTGGTTAAAGTAGTGGTTTGTGTTTTATGAAAAAAGATGTTGTAATATTCATAAATTTACCATTTTAACGATTTGAGCTGCTTCAGTTACCTTTGTTTTTACAGCATTTTGTTTAAACTAGAAAATACATTTATAAAGTCAATGATGATAGGTGAAATGATTTACTAAAATTGGCGTGAATTGAAAATGAATATAGACTAAAATAGCGGAATAAAAATCCAGCACAATTTTTTTCCAGTTTAAGTCTATTTGCTATTTTAGTCTGAATTTTGCAATTTGTTTTTTCATTTCGCTACATTTCACTGTTTAGTGAATGAGCCCCAAAGTGTTTTAGAATGCCTCTTTATTTTAGTACTGTGTGGAATGACAAACATCACTACAGCATGGGATACACTGCAGTAAATGATTCTTTAGTAATGAGGGGTACCACAGTGTACACAATGAAAAAGCTCCACAGGCATTACAGTGATATTAGGGGCACATAGGGGAAAATATTTGTTACAGGTTTTTCCAGGGTGGGGAGTTTTGGTTACAGTGGCTGGTTAAACAAACGTAAGCGTCGGTGCTACCTGCTTTCAAGATTGGTTGGCCCCTAACTCCTATCAAACTTGGTCAGGCATCACTTGCCTTTGAAAACAGGTCAGTTCAAATATGATCATTTAAAAACATACCAGAGGATTACCCATATTCTAAATCAATGAATGATGTGTTCAGTAGACAGCAGACGTAGAGACATTACAGTGATTTGCACAGTGGGCAGTCTACCGTTGAGTAGATTGCCTTGAAATGTAATTACCATTCCCTGATGTAGAAATGGATAACCATGGATTCGAGGGGATGTATGTCTGCTTACAAAACAGGTTTACAAATCAATATATTTGCAAAATATCTCTCAGCTTTAGGAGTGCTGAAATACTGGTTTCTCCAGAAGTGCTCCAATTCATTTGTATTGTAAATAGCTTATTCTGTGTATGCCAGTGCATCTTTTTGGAGCACACTTGAAGCATTAAATCAAGACGTAATTGTCTATTTTTATTCATTAACCAAAGGTGAGTGATGACTGTCCGGAATGTCATGCCTGAACTGGAGACAGTGACAGCGAAAACAAATATCAGGGTTGCAGTGCATGGGAGGAAAGGGATGAGTGAATGAAGTGCTTATGGTTAAGAACACAGGCAGTGCAGAACATTTACTAAGAGCATATTTTATGGTCAACTATACTTTTTTTTTATTGTGCGTTGAGAGAAATACATGCAAGCTCGTGGCGCCCCAACAGCATTCCTCGAGCATATTTTCAAGCATAACAGTAGGAGCAGTAAGATAATCAGCACATTTTTGTATAACAACAGTAGCATAACATTAATATTCGGTATGACTGCGCTTTTGTATGGTTGAGGACCCAGTATCTGCCTGCGTTTACGGCCACAGTTAGCTATATATTAAATGGCGTCCAAAGACATCCGTGTGGCTAGGCTACCTAGCTCTGCCTCAGGTTTGGGAGCCTCAAAACAATCCTGCATCATCTTTATGCCATGCTGCACAATAGAGGACTTATGTGGGCCCACTCGGCTAATGCCCTTTTTCGGCCGGTTATTTATTCTGGATAAACTAGTGGCATGGTGGTGGCTAAGATAGTGATTCCAGCGTGTCTGAGGGCTGGGCTCATACATTTGTGTTCAGAATTAGGGTGCTATTCCTGCCAGGCTTATGAAACACAATCTTATACATTGCAAGATATCATAGAAAATATTATTAGCTAATAGAGTACATCACATGTCTGAGTTACTGCACTATTTCCTTTGATGTAGATTACATTACCCAAACCTAAGCAGACACAGAGTGGGGTATTCAATGGCAGGCTGCTAATCACAGGTTAATCCTGCTGAGAGAGGTTATGGGCACTTATGCAAGTTGAAGCGATGCAAGAAAAGGAAAGTGCTTAAGAAATCATATAACATGGCTAAGCTGGTACATATAAAATTAAACAAAAGTATGAACTATGTACACGCTGAGTGTGGATATCGGATATTCTGCTGACTGTTACAATGTCCCGTGAAGAGGTTAATTGTATAGAGGTGGCCCCAGCTCCACATGTCACTCGGGTTGATCCCTTTCAGCCTATGCCCACAGGGTTTACCGGACTGTCCAGCATGGTGGTGACTCGCCAGGCAGTGGCTCTCTCGTTTGGTGGGGAGATGCCTTGCCCCAGATGTCCTGGGGAGCGGCTCAGAGGTGGCCACAGTGCTTTCTCCATGTAGCCCAGGACAGGTGGTGGTACGTTGGCGTTCGGTACTTCACGGCAGTGGTGGGCAGGACGTCTGTCCGCGGCTCGCTGTCTCAGCCGGTAGTGTTGTTTCCGCGGCTTCCGTCGCTTTAGTGTAGTCGGATTAATGTGGGGTAGCTGTCGGCCCATAAGAGGCCTCCCAGGCCGCTCCTTATTGCTTACACGGTCTTCCTTATCGGGCTCCCATGTGGCCGTTGCTTGCCTTGCACGTTTGAGCAGCATCGCCCAAAATTTGTCGATTATGGCTCCCAGAGTGTCCGTTACATTGGTCTTAGGGCCTGCTGAGACAGGTTGTGGCAGTATCAGACCTCGTGTTGTAGAGCCTGGTGCCTCCGCCATCTTGAGTGACTCCCTTCCCGTGTGGCTAGGGAGTTTTGCAGGGCTCACAGAAGCGTCCGCAACTGAGGCAGCTTAGGTCCTCGAGGACCGGGATTACCCCAACCGGTCCAGGGGGGGGAGGGAGGTGATTTGGGAGTGCTCCCTTGTCAGCCAGAGAAATGGGAGAGCAGCTGTCTCTCCTCGGCTCCCACCCGCACAGGCCGCAGGTCACGATTTGGTCCGCCCAGCACCGGAGAGCCAAGTGTTGGGTATCTCCGGTTGCAGTGCAGTCTCCTTGTCACGATTATTGCGTTTAGCAGTCGATGTGATCGGGTGGTCGGGCGTTAGACCCAGAATCTTGGCTCCAGACTCAGGAGCTCTCGACATGCACGTCTAGTCCACTTGTTAGTCAGGCTCCGCCCCCCTACATACTGTTTTTATGTATGAAAAGGTAATACATTGGAAAAACTTAGAAAATAAAGTTTTTTTTTATCACAGTTACAACAGTCCAGAGAGGAGATTGCTAAAAATTAAATGAATATCTCCCATTTTATCCCAGGAAGGTTTGTAACCCCATGATTAAAATGGTGATGTGGACACTTTATTAAATAGTCACATACTGTTCAATGGACAGAGATTCATTTACATGGGTGATTTCAGTATAAGGGAAAAGAGAGCAAATGGCCCACCTTAGATGTTGTCTTTCCTTATAATGGTTAAATGGTGCCTAAAAGTGAAAGTCCCTTTATGCATAATGACTTTCTCCCTCCCCCCCCTCCCCCCACCCACAGCAAAAATGTTTCACATTTGAATGCATTTTCCTGTGGATTTTAATAAATATTAGTATTTTTTACCAGCTTTTTTAGAGGAGTCACAGTAGACATTTGCTCTCTGATTGTGACTGTTATTTGTTACCATTTTTATTTTACATTAAACTTCAAGCATTCAGAGCTTCAAAAGGCCTTTAGGTATGCTACCAGTTTCAGGGCCCCCAAACCCCAATCTGACGTAAACATTTATGGCTGTATTCGCTGCGCACCTGCTGAGGGGCTGCATGTACTGGGAGACGCCCAAAAAGTCTTTGCCCTATAATCACTAAATTGAACTATCGAGGTTGTAATGCTTAGCGCACTAATTTAACCAAAGAGCTTTGTTTTTGACACACTGTTTTCCATGTGTCAGTGAGTTAATGGAAAAAGGGACATTGACTCCATGACGAGGTAACTATCCCATTTGTCCTGTGGCTGAGGAAGACAATACAAATTGGATGTGAATAACAATAAAAGCATATTTGTCAGACAGGAAATTTTACTTTTTGTCTTCTGCCAAATACAGATAACTTGCTCGTGGAAAAAAAACTGCACATTTTTTAATGTTCCTGACTGGCCCTGCAGGCTTTATATTCTCCTATACTCTGCATAATTTAGTTGACTCTTTATAATAGGAAAGTTCAGTGGTTCAATGCAAGGAGCGTGTCTTGTTTCCTTTCTTCATAAAATCTTGTACTAATTCTTTTTAACACTCTTGTAGAATCATGCAATTGGACTCTCGCCCTCGTTTAATGTGTTAGGCATTGCGTGCTACACATTTTCACATATTCTTTTGTGTTTTATCTTCTGCTGTACTTGGAGACTGTTTGTGTACAGCAAATATTGATATCTTAATTCTACAAATAGGTAAAAGGTAGAAACAAAAAGGCTTCCAAATCCAGAGCAACAATTTCAATGTTCTGGGAAAATGTTTCACTCTGTGGCAGCCAAAAGGAAGCTTCCCACTGTTTTAGAACTATAACTATCATGAACTAGTGCCACTCTTAAAGGGACACTGTAGACACCCAGACCACTTCAGCTAATTGAAGTGGTCTGGGTGCAGTGTGCCTTTTGCACTTAGTGCTGCAGTTCCAGAGAAACTGCCATGTTTACATTGCAGCTCTAAGTCTGCCTCCAGTGGCGGTCTACCAGACAGCCACTAGAAGGCTTCCTGGATCGAAACAGACCTTTGGTCCGGTATATGACGCTGGACGTCCTCACGCTCCGCATTCGGACATCCAGCGTCAGATTTTTCCCCCTAGGAATGCATTGATTAAGTGCTTTCCTACGGGGAGGTCTAACGCATGTGTGGCAACAACTTTTTATTTCAAAGTAATCCTATTTCATCTATGCAATAAAATTATTTCTCCACTTAGTTCTTCTATTGAATGAGATAATAGCATCTGCATAATGCTGTCTTCAAAGTCACAAGTAAAATTTCCTGCCAGTTAAAATGGAATAGAATTATCATGATGAGCCATTCCACTAATTAGCAAAATTGTAAAGCAAGTAGTTTAATTTTTCTATGCAAAGCTATCGTTTGCCTCTGCAAATGGATTAAGAAATATTCAGCACAAAAAGTGATACATTTTCTAATGCAGCAGATTTCAAAAGTGTTTATTTATTCATGCTTAGCTGAGTGTTCCTTAGGAAATAATAACTTCAAAGCCTTTTGCTTGTCTGTTATTATTATTAGTGATAATTTAAATGTCTCCAGTTAATATATAATTACACTAAGAAGGCAACAGATTAATGGACATTTAAATTTATTTGAATCTGTACAGTATTATACTGGTCAATCACTAGTAACCAAACATGATGATGGTGTCACTTTATAGAGAATACATTTCCCCTATGTTATACATTGTGAAAGCCAATTTATAGCATACGTATAGGTGAAGCATTGCTTTGCAAAGTGTCCTAACCATATTAGTCTTCACCATTGGCATAGTGGTAGAACATCTGAATTGCTCCTGGGAACGCCTTCTGGTTATATTCACTCCATACACATGGCCAGGAGATAAAAGAAATTGATATTATTATTATTTCTAAAGCACAGCACAGTACAATAGGTGGTCTAACAGACAGGTATGTGCAGCAATGACAAGTTGGAAGTACAGGAACAGAGGGTGCTGATGGTCTTGCTCAAACGAGCTTTCATTAGGGGGAATGGAATGGAATAAAGTGGCACAAGAGGTATGGGTAGGATATATTATTGTATGGGAAGAGTATGTTGCTAGAAGAGTTTACCATAGTTATATTATAAGAGTTTATATAAAAATACCACCTGTGTATATGCTAAATTGTTATAAAATAAAACATTTGCGCTTGTGTGAAAGTGGACAATAGTGCTATTGTTATATTGCTATTGTTATATAATAATAGCATGTGATTTAATATGTATCCAAATTAGACTGTGCATAGGTGGAGCTAGCTGAGTATGTCACAATCAATTTTTTATCAGCATAGCTATTGACATTGGGATGTTTGAGATCGGGAAATAGGGGCAGGCCTTGAGGCATTACCAATGACGCAACGCAAGTCATTGATGACACCGAATGCTCAGTCTCAGCTAATCATCATATTTTTTTTTATCATTCATCTTTTAACATGCCAATTAGTGATGTCCCGAACGGTTTGCCAAACGGTTCGCCACGGATGGCGAACATATGTGCTGTTCGGTCCGCCCCCTATTCGTCATCATTGAGTAAACTTTGACCCTGTACCTCACAGTCAGCAGACACATTCCAGCCAATCAGCAGCAGACCCTCCCTCCCAGACCCTCCCACCTCCTGGACAGCTCACTAAGAATGCAGCTTCACAATGAATGTAAAATGGATGCTGGGAGAGAGGTGGGAGGGGCTGGGAGGGAGGGGCTGCTGCTGATTGGCTGGAATGTGTCTGCTGACTGTGAGGTACAGGGTCAAAGTTTACTCAATGATGATGAATAGGGGGCGGACCGAACAGCGCATATGTTCGCCGTCTACAGCGAACCGTTTGGCGAACCGTTCGGGACATCACTAATGCCAATATATTTTTTTATTATCATACTTTAACATGCCAATAGATTTGTATTTATTGCAACAAAAACTGGGGGGCATTGCCACACCTTCCCTACTGACCAGCATACTTAATAACACCATATGTCACTCAAATGTTCACGTACATAAAAGAAATGGAACTGCCAAGTAATTATAGTGAAGTTTATTGTTCTATATGCATATCAGTGGTATATCGTCTAAGGCAATCTATATCTATTGTAAAGCAGTACAGTTTGTAGGTCTCCTATAATTACGGTGTATATACCAACAGTTTTGTATGCAGGGATATTTTTTGTTTTCCTGTATAATTTCCTTACAAAGTATGGGAAAACCTTTAATGATACAATATAATAATTACAAAACTTTGAAGATTAAAAATGGCAATCCTTGCTACAATGAAGAAGTGTTTCTTTTGTTCATTGTGAGTGAGCGTTTATCTGTTTTCTTTTTTTTTTTGCTTACGAAGAACAATTGGTGCAAGCTTGTGCGTGATGGCAGATACCCAAACAGCTTAATCAAACAATAAGGTGTTATTTGGTATCACGCCCAGCATATTGATGTGACATAAAGGTCAATGGTTTGTCATCGTACCTATTGGTACAATACCGCTACCAATACAAATTCAAGTAAAAGTGCATATGTTGCTTTACAGGAAGTGTTTTGTCAAAAACAAATATTGGTGTGTGTCTATGTATATATTCTAAATTACAATTTAAAGGAACAGACAGCACTGACAATATTTCTAATACAAAACAAAGCAAAGTCTCTGGTTTACATTAACTATATAAATATTGTATAATAAAATCAGATGAATAAAACCATATCCTCACCGTTTGATTTATTACTTAATTATTAATAGTCCACTGCGGAAATTAAACGTGTTACCTAAAATCCAGTTATCCTCTTGTTGACATTAAATCTATCATACAGATAGGCTGAATATAAAAATATAAAACAGAAGTGTTGATTACCAGGAGAACGAGGATATCAACATCCGATCTTCGAGCCCCTGGATGTTTTTCTGGCCTCTTGACGGTGGCTTGCTGTAAAGTTGATATTAAGAGCCATTACTAAACAAAATATAAATGTAAAGTATTACAAAGCAGTGTAATTACAATCCGTATGAAAAGAAACAATATAGAGGTTGGCTTACCACTTGAAATCATGACCATGAGTCTACGTTCATGACATTCCATGTTGGATCAAAGCATATTCATAAACTATATCATTAATATTAATTGTAGCTATAATAAAATTTGAAAGAAAAGATGCTTGTCTAACAGAAAAGTTGCTTGGTCACATTAATAATAACACAGTTGCATTATGGAACTATGGGAGAAATTATAGAGTGTAGAGGCAATAGTATGAACTACTCTATCTAGGTATTCTCTGCAATGCTCTATGCCTGTAGGAAGAGTCAAAGTTTCCATGAAGAAATGGGGGCATTGGCAGATAACCATCGCATTTATCCTACGACAAGATTTCTTTGGACACAGAAGTACTTTTGTGAGTTTTGTGTGGCTGTCTCTGAGCAATTCACAGTTTCAAACATAACTTATTTGCAAAATATGCCAATTAAATTGCGGTGACATTTAAGATGCACATTTCTCAAAAGAGTAAGAAGAAGTAAAACTAAATAGCACATATCATACAAAAAGGGCACAATTACCATTTGGCCTCTTTTTAACTTATGCATCTACTGTTGTGATAAAAAACTAAATTGGCCTCAGTATACACCTGTCAGTTCAGAAAGAAACATATTCACAAAGACTATTTAACAACATCATAACAACATAAGAAGAGTGGGTCTTATCACACATGTGAATATAAACGTGCCATCATTAGGTTCACATTTCAAAGGCTTCATCCCTCCACAATATGAGCTGCTTCCAAACTGGCATAGCTCCTCTCTGGCCGTTCATTACACAACACTGTGATGAGTGCATTTAGATAACCATTCTCAACATGTTTTGCCTTAGGACTTTGTCAAAATTGTTAAAACCAAGCCTTTTGCCAAGAAATGAGAGAGATGGGTTGCTTCTTAATAAACTTTTTTCGAAAGCAAAGAGGGCTGGGTCTGTAGAACCAGTAGCTAATGGCCACTACACACATTGAAATGTTATCGTAAGAATGAGCAACTTTCCTCTACTTGCAAGTCACAATAGTAGATAAGACAATGAAAAATTATCTTTTCCTTTCGCTACCGGTTGCGAGCTGTCTTAGTTTTCTATTTAGCCTTGAAGGAATTTATTGTGTAAAGGGGTTTGTATTTCCTGGAAAATACAACAAGAAAAAAATATCAGCTATGACAAAATAGAAAATTATATATATATATATATATATATATATATATATATTATATTTAAGCCTTAAGCCATATCTTGCAAGCAATATAAAGATATAGGACAAATACCGCAGCACTATATTAATTATTTGCACTAGAATCCTCTACCATCCAGGATCTAGACATATCTTTGCCAAACAAACTCACTGTGTGGGAACAGAAAGTATTATATGTACCTCTTTTTGACATTATTGTAAAGGACCAAACAACACCAAATGGATATGTTTAATATAATAAAATCTCATCTTAACTACCAATGTGAGACTGAATTGCTAACTGGTATTATGGAACACTTCAATGACAGAAAGAGTTGTGGCTGCTTGTTCTGCAGTGGGGAATGAATGTATGAAATGCGTTGGTGATAACGTGATAACTCTAGCACTGAAATGGTTAAGAATGCTTGGAATAAACACAAAATGTTTGTCAAGACTGCTTTTTCTGATATGTTTTAAAAATAGACGCATCTCTAGTGTTAACAAAAATTTATATACGATTTTTTAGCTTTTATAGTGATTTTGATACACAGAACTCTCTACTTTTCATGAAACGGGAATTTTGCATTTCTTCTGAATGTATCACATTGAAGCTATTTATTTAATATGCTATAAAGTAATTTATGAACAGAGCAACACAGTAAATATATATATATCTCAAGAGAGAAATGAATGTAGTCTCCCAAATGATACGTTTGCCTTTTATCACATATTGATGCATCGCTCTCCTACTGATGCCCATGATGACTTTTTTCGCAGTTTGTATATCTCTTACCAAATGTGGAATCTACCAATCTAGGATGGTAGATTCCAGCAAAGGAAAAAGGAAAAAAACATATTTTTTTTGTAAATTGTAAGATTACTTTTTGAGCACAATTTGTCATTTGTAATATGTAAAAAACTGTATTCGTTTAGAGTAAACCTTGCTGTTCTGATACGTACATCGAAATACATTTAAAAAGAAAATAAAGCTAAAAATTACATTGGTTCCAGTGCAAAGGCCAGAATCTCCCTGCAGCTTGGTCCTCCGATGAGGTCATTCTAAATTACCTGTGACTCCATGCCGTCATTGGATGCCTATCTCCAGCATGCTGTGTCAGATGTCCAATATGCATAGAATTAACATTAGCCACCAGTAACTATTGCCCTGCACTGCTTACGATGCCCCAATGATGCTGTAGGCCCCAATGTATGTCCAGTGTTTCATTAAAATGCTGCACTTACAGACTCCTGGCAACCATGACCACTTCAAATCACTAAAGTGGTAATTGTACTAGGAATAACTCTTTCATATTTTAAAACATCCCTTGTAATGGATTAATTAAACTTGACTGTGGCATAACATAATTGTCTGTTCGGACACCCTAAATGTAACAGTCAGTGCTGACATATTTATGCCAACAATACTGCACCAAGGGTGCATTATGTCCCTGATAAAAACATTTCCCTAAATAAACTGATTTAATCAATAGATGAGAAGCCACATTCTGGTGGCTTGGTGACCTGTGTTGTTTCAAATTCCCCAAATGTTAAAAGTGTGAAAACCATAGACAACCGGACATGACATTGATACCATTCCTTCCCCTAGTTTTTCCATCTTTTTATTTTAGGTCCTTCTACCTGGGGGTCAAGTGTATGGGAGCAAAGCGTTGTATCTCTGTCACCCTCTGTAACTATATATACCCCACTAATTAATGGGCTGAAAGGAGAGGGAGCGGGAAATAGTTAAATGTACATTAGAATGCACAAATTATTACACTTTTATTCCAAGAAGCACATAGACTATTAGTGAGCGCCATGGGTTGAGTTTGAGAATGCCTTAATCCAAAAGATCCATTATAAACAATTACAACAGCGTTTAAACATTGAAGTGGGAATTGCTGAGAATTAACTGGGGAATTGTAAAATTTAGGACAAATAAGTTAAATTGGAAACATTCCTCAGTTCAGAATTCCCCTTTTTAGTGAAGGGTGTTTCCATCACTGTTGCAAATTCCAATATACTTTTACATTAGATATATTCATTATTAGTTATTGAATTAAAATAAAATGCAGTCATGCCTTTCTGAGTTTGAATTTGTGTAAAAGCAGTATACGTTGTCACATAAACTGTTCTATGCTGATAAGCTGGTGTATGTGCAGCAAAGACAACGATAGTGTGTCAGCATTAGTGTCCTAGAAAGATAGCAGCTCGATATATTCCTTACTCATCCTGTTATGTATTTTAGTTATTGGCTATATTTTATCTTTTTACTCCGCCTGGCAACTCATAGGGGTTTATTCGCTAAAGTCTGATTTGTAGCAAATTTACACTCAAATGGGAAAATTTAAGCTAAAACAATCATCTTGCAATATGGCCTCTAGTGAATTCAGATTAGATAATTTTGCCTTAATTTTGTCATTAGGATTTTAGTTCACTGCAATTTACTGTTTTTTGTAAGACTAATAACAGATAATGAAATGTTAGGACTGCCATTTAACCCCTTAAGGACCAAACTTCTGGAATAAAAGGGAATCATGACATGTCACACATGTCATGTTTCCTTAAGGGGTTAAAAGACAGAGTGTACCTTTGTCGCTTGCTATCGAACAATCCCACATTTCTCTAAGCTTATTACTGATGGAAGAGAATCCATTAACTCATGAACTTAGAAAGGAAATCTGAGCAATGCTTGCTGTGGCGAGGTTGCAACTCCCATCATACTCAGTACACCCTAGCATAGAATATGATTGTATTAATTTCTTAGAATAAAAACATTCTACTACACAGTAGAATTTGAAAGCATGTTAGTGTGTCGTATATTTTATAACATATTATGTTTTACGTCATGTTAATAAAGTATACTGTCAGCACTAGGCAATCCCTCACAGCATTTATACAGTTTTGCCATAGGCCATTGAGGGCCAGCATTTGGCACTCCAACTTCTGTGGACTACAATACCCATAATCCCGAGCAGGCAAATGGATAGCTAGGAGCCGTGGGGAATACAGTACGTAACAAAGGGCTAGACATCACTGTCCAAAACTATTTTACTTAATAAACAAAATGAATATTATTTGTAAAATCCCCAATAGGGTGACTTGACCTCCCTTTTAATTATCCAATTGTTCTGAACGATACAAATAATCAGAGGGAAAGCTATTTTATGTGTAATGTAATTTTTTAAGTACTTAGGTCTTGATGTTAATCTTACATGAATTAAATTATGTATATATATATATATATATAAAAATATACAAATAAATATATATTGCATTGCTTTGTAACTGACTGTTAAGTGACACATCACATCACAATGCAATACAGTGCATGATAAAACCACATCTGTTCAGTTTTATCCTTTAAATATATATATATATATATATATATATATATATATATATATATATAAACCATATTTTTGTACAATGTTTAAACAATGTGCAAATGATCCAAACTGTAAATAGTTGAGTGAATACAGACCGTATAATTAACCTGTGGAGAAATGTTGACCATCCCAATTTACAATCTGCACTAAATAATGCATTATTAAAGTATTATATTTCAATATATTTTAAGATTCTTGTGCAGGAGAAAACTGGACCTAACGTTTAAAATATTCTTAGTCATTTGAGTATCAGTGGATTACAAGAGAACGCATGCAGGGTTAACAGTGTTAAAAAAAGCTCTAATGATGTATTTAAGGAGATTGGATTGAGACAGATGTCACAATTAATTTAACTAATTAAAAATGATTCACTAAACCTTAGCTGACAGGGAAGGAATAGACACTTAATGGGTCAATGGTCTCTTAAGAGTTTATTAAAAGAGCATGTAGAGATCTACAGTTGCTCCTCCATTAACACATGAAGTCTAATCGTTTGTTTGTTCTGGGATTACAGTTCTTAGAGGAGGACCTGTTGATGGAACCTACCGATTGAAGCAGTTCCACTTTCACTGGGGATCCTGCGATGGACACGGCTCCGAGCACACTGTCGATGGAGTTAAATACGAAGCAGAGGTAAGGAAGCTTGACATGCTGATTCGAGTTCCAACTACTAATATTTCATCTTATTGTTGCCATTGTTTCTATGACAACAGTACTATCCTGTTAAAAGTATATACTGATCATGATATCATAAACACCAGAGACACTTGATAATACAGCGAGTAGCTAGCTCAACGGTAGGCAGCCTACCACTCCAGATGTTTTTGAACTATATTTCCCCTGATACTCTGCCAGCATTATGGTTGTAAGTGGATTATGGGAGATGTAGTCCACAACATCTATAGTTCTGAAGGTTGCCTGCCCCTGATCGATTTGATAGTGGTACAGTGTGCACATGATTGGTTTTGATGCAGAGCTGGGGCTGATAGTGATACGGTGATCACCTGGACTGAAAGTGATAATCAGATTACCTAGACTAAGGGTAGACAACCTATGGAACTCAGGATGTTTTAGACTACACCTCCACTGATGCTTTACCAGCATTATGGCTATAAGAGCATCATGGGTTATGTAGTCCACAACATGTAGTACCGTAAGGTTGCCTACCTCTGAGGTCCTAGATCAGGCTTCCCCAAACTCCGGCCCTCCAGATGTTGGTGAACTACAACGCTTTCTATGAATGAAATACAACGATTCTATGAATTAAATAGATAGGCTGATAATCATGGGAGTTGTAGTTCAGCAACATCTGGAGGGCCGAAGTTTGAGGAAGCCTGTCCTAGATTGATAGTGATACAGTAAGCACTTGGATAATTAGCGATACAATGATTGACCAGAATCCTCCTGATACAGTGATTATTTGGACCTATTTTTTTCAGTTAGTGGAATCGAGCCATTAAAAAAATAAAAAATAAAATCATAAATTGAAAAAAAAAAATCCAAATCTTATTTCGATACCCAGTCCCAGAAAGTGCTATAATAGTATTGCAAAAAACACCAGAGCTGAAGTAGCATGGTTCTTTATAATTTTTCTGTTGTGGCTTATGTGCCTAACACTGCTGTTTGTCAATAACTAACACTGTATTTATAACTCAGCGATTTTATTATATGTTATTAACAGCTGCACTTGGTTCACTGGAACACAAAATACGCCAGTTTTGGTGAAGCTGTGAAACACTGCGATGGGCTGGCAGTAGTTGGTGTTTTTCTCCGGGTAAGCAAACAAATTGCACAATTTATCTTTCATTTCTTTATTTTGACTAGGCTATATTTAAACATAGCATCTCTCTCTGAAAGGGTAGGTTGAGGGAACACATATATATTTAATGCTTCTACAAATTCCTCTCCCTGCAGTAGCTTTCAACATTTAATCAGATGGCTGTTTGATGTCTCTTTTATTGTGTGTGTTTAGCTCTTAACCCTTAATGTGCTGTGAGATATTATATTATTCTCATGTGAAAAAAATAAATGTGGGGTAAAAAGGTTTGTGTTTATAGAGATTATGAACACACCAATAATTATGAAACTACATGCATTTTGTAACTATTTCCTGCAAAATTCAGAAGGATATTTCAACAGTTTTTTATAAATGCATTTTTAAGATGCAAACACTTTACATTCAGTGACCTGGCAGGGGTCCTGTTTATTATTGCCGTCTGCAGTGCAGATTTCTAATTCAGTATTCGAGGGCAGCAGTTCTGTCAGTTATGATTGCATTTCTCTGATAATCTGATTATGATGCAATTAAACAATTAAGCTAGTGCAGGGGAAGCCTTGCATTTCCATGGATTGCAGAGCAGAACGACCATAAACAAACTGCTTCTTCTGGATAATGCCCAGGGCTTTTCAAAGGGGGCTTATTAATTTAACTGAAACATTTCAAACGGGTTAATACATTTTATGGAGATAACTATCAATTGTGATATTAAGAAATAAAAATAAATAGGCTGAGTTATATGTTTGTTTTAAGTTAACTATGTTTAGCATGTGTTGTAAGACAATTGTCAATTCAGAAAAATTCACTTTTAGAGAATAAGCTCCAAATTAATACACTATGTTGAGCTCAATCTCCACTGAGCCTCACCCACTTTTACAGTAAGTGCTAAATAGTAATGATGTTAAGTAAAGTTCAGCAAAAGCAGGATAGCTTCTTAATGGCTTCCCTGATTAAAGTAAAACATCAGCTATGTACAAAACATGTGATTGTGACTTAAGGCTGGTTACTCAAGAGTAATTATCAGTAATTATTTGAAAAATACCTGAAAGACTGCGTAACCACAGGAGACCCAGGGATCAATCTATTTCCAAACTCCCTTGTATATTAGTTTGGGTATAATAATAATGAGCCCTCCTGCCCTTTTACCATCCTCGTGCCTGTGGTACTGGGCCAATACGGCAAAGAAACTGACTTGTTTGACAAGTGTAACCCAAGACTGCAATTGTTAATTAATATTAATCAGAGAATAGAAATGGAACAGGTACTAGTCTACACACACTTGTCTACATGAAAATGCTTGTTCTTGGGTAGAACATTGGCTTAAAAACAGAGTACAAAGAGTTGTCATTAATGGTAAATTTTCCAGCTGGACAGAGGTGGCAAGTGGTGTCCCTCAGGGGTCTGTTCTGGGACCCCTACTATTTAACATATTTATAAATAATCTTGAAGACAGCATTGAAAGTCATGTTTCAGTGTTTGCAGATGACACAAAACTTTGTAAAATAATGCAATGTGAGCAAGATATTACTTTGCTGCAGAGGGATTTAGATAGACTGGGGGTCTGGGCACTCAAATGGCAGATGAAATTTAATGTTGAAAAATGCAAAGTTATGCACTTCGGCCTAAAGAATACACAAGCAACGTATACCCTTAATGGAAGCGAATTAGGGATAACAACACACAAAAAGGACTTGGGAATTGTTATAGACAACAAGCTATGCAACAATGTGCAATGTCAATCAGCAGTGGCCAAGGCCAGTAAGGTATTGTCATGTATGAAAAAGGGCATTCATTCCCGGGACGAGAATATCATTTTGCCTCTTTATAAATCACTGGTAAGACCCCATATTGAATATGCTATGCAATTTTGGGCACCTGTTCTAAAGAAGGATATTATGGCACTAGAAAAAGTGCAGAGGCGGGCTACAAAATTAATAAAAGGAATGGAACATATCAGCTATGAAGAAAGGTTAACAAATTTAAACCTATTTAGTTTACAAAAACATCGCCTGAGAGGGGATATGATAACATTATACAAATATATTCGGGGCCAATACAAACCATTGTGTGGAAATCTATTCACAAACCGGACTTTCCATAGGACACGAGGCCATGCGTTTAGACTGGAAGAAAGAAGATTTCATCTAAGGCAAAGGAAAGGTTTTTTTTTTACTGTAAGAACAATCAGGATGTGGAATTCTCTGCCTGAAGAAGTGGTTTTATCAGAGTCCATACAGATGTTCAAACAGCTACTAGATGCATACTTGCAAAATCAGAATATTCAAGGTTATAATCTTTCAATGTAGGGTAATAACTGCTTGATCCAAGGATAAATCTGACTGCCATTCTGGGGTCAAGAAGGATTTTTTTTCCTAGCTTGTTGCAAAATTGTGCTTCAAACTGGGTTTTTTTGCCTTCTTTTGGATCAAGAGCAAAAAAACAAACGTGAGGAAGGCTGAACTTGATGGACGCAAGTCTCTTTTCAGCTATTTAACTATGTAATAGCATGAACGAGGTGGGTCAGACTAGCACATTTCAAAGTTCTCTGTGTACATCACAGTCCTGCTTGGATCTGGGACTTGCAATTTAGTTATCCACTTTCTACTTTTGAAAGCTCTTTGCTGAACGTGTACAGAATGTGAATTGAATGTGTACAGTAATAAGCAAGAAGAAAGCATTTTAGAACAGAGGTGATGTACCGGAGAGGCATGTTAAGATGTAGAATGCTGCAAAACGTTTTTTATTTTTAAAAAACAATACAATAAATTGGGCATTGAAAAAACAATACAAAAAGCTGTAAAATGCGTGAAGTTTTGCACTGAGCGTCGATAAAGCATTAAAAAACTGGTGCAACATAAATTGAAAACATAAACTGAAAACAGTGCAAACAAATTGGTCTGCATACATATCAGTGGCTGAAAAGCAATCTTCAGCTGTAAGGTAACGGCCAAGAGTGTCATTGTGAGGCTTATGTGCATGTGTTCAGTAGAAAATGAAAATATATGGAAAATCTTACAAGTTGGTGGGATCCTCCAAGAGCTGTTTGGAAATGCAAACAGATAATTATGTATATGTATATGTATCTGTAGAGCATGACTCAAGAAAATTTCATTTCCTATCAGTTGAGTGGGGCTAATTGCCTATAATATGATGCTGTTTGTCCACTGCTTCAATTGTTTTTTTAATTACCCATTTTTGTTAGCTGTAAATAGTCAATTCAGCATTGATGTTATAACTATGTTAAAAACGATAGTTTGATACACCTTTATTCTCACAATAAAATAAATACATTCATAAATCAACAATGCAATGAAACATACGAATCAGAAAATAACTGATTGATATATTATCCTTTGTGTATTATTTGTATATTTCAGGTAGGAGACAAAAAACCTGAATTGCAGGAGGTGATCAACGCCTTAAAACTTATTCCAAATAAGGTGAGCATTTAGTGTTCTATATATAAATTTTTAGTTAAACTAGAAATTGTTATATTGAATTTATTATTAATGTTATTACTGTTAATCACTATGCATTTTTAATCCATTAGGGAAAGGAAGCCGCTTTCACTGATTATGACCCGTCCGGCCTGCTGCCAAACTCTTTGGATTTCTGGACCTATAAGGGTTCTTTAACCACTCCACCACTCCTTCAGTGTGTTACTTGGATTCTCCTTAAAGAGCCAATCAGTGTTAGCTCTCAACAGGTGAGTTTAAATTAACTTTAAAGTAACACTACATGTATTGAAAGAGATTGAAAAACATATAGGAAGACGATGTAATTAAACAAGAATCAGCCTTACTTGGTTAAAAGGTTACTTTAAGCACCATGACCACTTCAGTGATATGAAGTGGTCATGGTGCCTGGAGTCTGTATGTGCAGTGTTTTGCTATGAACCCCACTGCATTTTGCTATTAACTCCACTGCTGTCAGAGATGTAATTCCACCTCTGGCAGTGTCATTGAGGTATTATGAGGCAGTCCGGAACAAGAGCACAATGTGAGTTTTGTGCAAAACTGGTGTCTGACACATGCTGGTTCCAGAAAGCCAATTGCAGCACCCCCTTCCCTCCTGTGCAGCTCGTGTCCTCCATTCAGTCCCCTCTCCTTGACATCTCTCCCCTTTCGGCAAGGCTGTGTGATATCCGTGGAGGAAGAATGGGCTGCAGAACGTGATCTCAATGGAATAGAGGTAAATCCTCACCCTGAAGAGCAGCCCAATCGGCGAAATGCGCATCGGGGATCCACTATCCACTCCAGGTCAGCCTGCAGACTCCTTTCTGACAGATCCTGATAGCCAACGTGCAATCTTCACGTGTATCACAGCTTACTTTCTCTGACCACATTCTTCAGCAGCGAACCGACCCAGGTGGTTAGATTTTTGGGCGTTCTGTCCCATACTGACTGATAGAATCTTTTTATCTCTCGACATATAGGTGCCCTTGAAGGCCTTCATTAGTAAACCTTTTCAGCAAAATTAGACCTCTTGTATTTAGAGACAGATAGTCTTTATTCATCTATCTAAATATAAGTGCCCTGAAAGGCACAGATCAAGTTACCTTTTGTGAGCAGAATTACTTTTCTGACTTTTTTATAACACAATTGACTCTGGTATTCTGCTAGTCATTGGTGCAGCGAATCAGTGACAGCTAGACCTAGCCTTATGATATAAGCATAGGTGCCCAAGAAGGCACAGATTCGTTTTGTGATTACTCAGCCTGCCATTTTTATCAATATTACCATAACTACTTCTGTTTACTCTTTACCAACAGTCCTCTTTGGACTTCACTCCTCACACTCTGAGTAGCTGTTAAAACAGAGACGAAGCACTGTTTAGCCGAGGGTTGCCACTAGCACAGCATAGCTATCATTTTCATGGCACACTATGTTATATACCTTCAATGTTAGCTACATTTTGCTCTGATTGTCCAAAGGATACTATTCTCCACATTGTTGCCATTGAGCTCTGTTTTCAACTACCCCACTTACACCCTGGAGTAACTTTAGTATCTATACATATTTAGCATTTTTCCCTTTTTGTAGCAATGTATATATTGGAAATGTATAACTTATTATTTTGTATTTCGATTTTATTTACTAGTGTGGTTAAGTCCTCTCTCCATCTAGTGGTTATACAAAAACCTTGTATACCTTTTTGATTATCTATCATATTAAAAGTTACATATTAATTACTAATTTACCTGGGCTAAGAACCTCCTCTTCTCTTTTCGTGGAATAGAGGTAAGTTTTAGATCTTTTTGCTTTTTTTTTTTTTGAGTGACCATTATAGGAAGAGCTACTTTGTAGTCGGACTAAAAACAGTATTGGAGTAACCGTTTACTATACATGCTTCCTTTTTTCATTATTTCAATAACAGGATTCAGCAATTGGTCGTGTTTCAAAACACATGCCTTTGGCGCAGTCCTTATTGATAAGCACTTAAAAATATAGAGATGTGGTCAAAAGATGTGGTCACTGTTTCCATTCTGTAATAAAAAATTATTCTTACAAAGTAGTCGCCTACACAGACAACTGCGCAAAAAAAACCCCAAACAATGCCCAACTTTTGCTATGGAATGTTTCAAATGGAATATTGTAGAAGTTGACCCCAAGGTTCATGTTCAGAGGATCAATAGCTCTTCAAACTTTTATATCATATTGAATTTATATTATCCTAGGAAACATTATCAATCCATTTCATACGTTTCATATTCTGAATACTTGTTTCATTTTATTTCCGTTTTATAAACATTACATGTGTTTTTGATTAAATATGAGAACAAGTCTTAATTGTTAGAGATAATTGCTCATAAAATCACATTTTTCTATAAATGCTATAACTGCAACTCAACTGTTTATGTCATTATAAATATGTCCATTTCTAACTCTGTGATATAACTGCAATATGTTATCAATACTTTAGCATGATATAGATCATCAGCACACAAATTGGAGACAATATCGGTATATACTACAACGGGAAAGGTCTTGTTGATATACTGGAGACCAAAACAGTTCATGTGTGATATTGAAAATGGAAATTGCATCTTTTTCTTTCTGTTTGTTTTTAGATTTCAAAGCTCCGAGGCCTTTACTTTAATGATGAAAACGAAGACCCATGCCACATGGTGGACAACTTCCGTCCACCACAACCACTGAAGGACAGAGAGGTCAGGGCCTCATTCCATTAGGAAAAGCCAATTTATTCTCTGTTTTGTCATCAGCTGTAGAACCAACTTTAACTTTGAATTATCTCTAGCTTTCCAAACTGGGAGATTTTTTTTCCTAGCTGAGAGTCATAATCCTTTTTCTCTCTAAGCATTTAATTCTTCTGCTTAATGAAATGTGAAAGTCTGCTGACAGGCAAATCAGTCATAATGTGAGATTCACTTTAAAGCTTAGAAAACTCTGCAATTACATTTATTCTACTGCAAATCAATGCTGCATTATAGGAAAAAAAGCCTTTTCCGATAGTTTATATAGATTTTAGTTTTGTCTCAAATGAGGAAAAAACTTGAAGTACATACATATTCTATATATAAATATAGATATATATATATATATATATATATTAAATAATGTGAACTGACACTTTAAAATTGCACCAACTTATTTCAGAGAAAATAATTTTAACAGAGGTGTAAATATTTTAAATGTATATGATAAAATATATATTAGAAAAGTCTTAATATTGGTGCTTATTTTGAGTCTTAAATTCATTAAATTACAGAGATATACATGATATACATTAAATTATAATTGTATTTTGGATATATTAATAAAAGTCTACAAATTTAATATTTGGGCTGATTGGTTTATTTAATTGTGCATGTGTTAACTTTTAGCTTTAATGAACTTGAGAAATTAGACACGTGGTTGTTCTGAGGGGTAGGAGACATATGGAGAGGCTGGGGGGGAATCAGACACATGGAGAGGCTGGGGGGAGAAATAAGACACATGCTTAGGCTGGGGGGAGTAATGAGATACATGGAGGGGCTGAGGGAAATGAGACAAATGGAGAGGCTGGGGGGGATGAGACACATCGTGGGTCTGAAGAGGGATGAAACACATGGAGTTGTGGGGAGGAATTGGACACATAGAGGGGCTGTGGATGAGTAATGAGACACATGGAGTGACTAGGGGGATAAATGGGACACATGGTTATGGCTGAGGGAATAAATGAAACATGTTTGGCTGGGATGGGAGAAATGAGACACATTGCTGGACTCGGAGGCATGAGACTCATGGAGGGCTTGGTGGTGATGAGACATGTGGATGGGCTGGGGGGAGGAAATAAGGCACATGGTTGTGCTGGGGGATGAGACACATGGTTGGCCTGGGGGGGAGGTGAAACACATGACTGGACTGGGGGAGAAATGAAACACATGGAGGGGCTGAGGGAGTGGTTGGAATGGGGAGGAGAAATAAGATGCATGGTTGGGCTGGGGGGATGAGACACATGAAGGGACTGGGAGTGAATGAGACACATGGAGGGGCTGGGAGTGAATGAGGCATATGAATCAATGCAGTTCCCTGACAACCCAAATGGCAAACATGGAGGATAGAGCAAAGGCACACAACATGCGGATCAGAGGGGTGACGGAATCAGTCACCAACACTGAACAGCCACACTATTAGTACCAAAGCAGGTGAAGCAGATCAGAGTGGACTCCGTTTTTCGTCTCCGCAGGGCCACCAAAGTACCCAAGGATACTCCTCGTGATGTGCTAATCAAGTTTGTCCGGGACTCAGACAGAAGGGTTCTTATGGGAGCCGTAAGGGGCTCTCCCATGAAACCCTTTGAGGGGGCGCATCTGACACTTTTCAGAGATTTTTCGAGGTACACTCTGACATGGATTACTTAAACAAGGGTGCTCACTCATGGGTGCTCACTCGTATAAGGCCATATTCCTAAAGGCTAAAAGAGTTACATCTATTACTTAAACAAGGGGCACAACCACAAAATGTATATGAAAATATATTTATTAAATAGGTCACAGTAATAGGCTCTCTCATTAACTGTATCAATGAATGAAAAAGACATACAATGTCAAATAAAAAGTACAATGTAACACATACAAGTTTTGGAGGAGCCTATAAGCAGGCTACACAATGCATAAATCTCTGAATACAGATATCCAAATTAGCTATATGAGATACCAAACAATTATTATTATAAACCCAAAAGTACTTATATATACAAAAAAAAAGCAAAGCATACCAGACCTAGTGAGAAGAAGGACAAGAGTCAACCAAAAAGCCTGGCTTTTTGGTTGACTCTTGTCCTTCTTCTCACTGGCTTTTTGGCCTGGCTTTTTGGTTGACTCTTGTCCTTTTTCTTATTTGACATTGATACAGTTAATGAGATAGCCTATTACTGTGACCTATTTAATAAATATCTTTTCATATACATTTTGTGGTTGTGCCCCTTGTTTAAGTAATAGATGTAACTCTTTTGGCCTTTAGGAATATGGCCTTATACGAGTGAGCACACATGACTAGACTGTTAATTTTTGTTTGGTTACTGTTTTCATATCAGCACTTTTGAGTGTGCCTGCCTGGCTTAATTTTTACACTCTGACATGGAGGCAGCTCCGAGAGCACTCGATACGGCTTACTGGCAGTAAAATATGGCGAAACGCACCCTCTGGTACACCTGTCAGAGGTTCCGACCTTCCTCAGGTCTTTGGGCATACCAGCGGAAGCGATACCCACCAGCGCTGGCCCGTAGTGGACTGTTGGCAACATTAACCCCTTCATACCCAGGGAACTATGACAAAGCACACAGGGATTGCCCACCTGAATCGACAGCTGTAGATACGTGTGCTACAAATGACTGTTCTGTTTACTTAAGTTTGGTTTAACCCCTTAAGGACTGAGCCAAATGTACACGTTTTGATCAAAATAAAATGTAAACACATGTTTTTATTTTTTTTGTTCTGCCTGACAATTTAACTGTGAATGTCATAATACTGTTTGCTTTTACTGCAATAAAATACACATATTTGTATTTAGCGATGTCTCACGTGTGAAACAGTATACAGGCTTTATGGTGTTTTGGGAAGTTACAGGGTCAAATTTAGCATGTTAAATTTTTCAGCCTGATCAGCAGCAGTGGGACTGCCTGGGATGCCAGGTAAGTCCCCCCATCGCGATTGCCGTACTATGCCACCCGCCGGTGTTTAGAGCCAGGTCACCAAGGATGGCATAGCACACCTGCCATCCTTAACCCCTTAAGGACGGAGCCAAATGTACACGTTGTGAACAAAACAAAATGTAAACAAATCCTGGCATTTGCGCTACATGTCTGTCCAACCGTAATACACCTCTTTCATAGTAAATGCACCCACCCTTATTATATATCATTTTATTCAGGGGAAACAGGGCTTTCATTTAATATCAAATATTTAGCTATGAAACAATTTTTTTAGTTCTACATGACATTTTAACTGTCAATGTCATAATACGGTTTGCTTTTACTGCAATAAAATACACATATTTTTATTCAGCAAAGTCTCACGTGTAAAACAGTACCCCCCTATGTACAGGTTTTATGGCGTTTTGGGAAGTTACAGGGTCAAATATAGCACGCTACATTTGAAATTGAAATTTGCCAGATTGGTTACGTTGCCTTTGAGACTGTATAGTAGCCCAGGAATGAAATTTACACCCACAATGGCATACCATTTGCAATAGTAGACAACCCAAGGTATTGCAAATGGGGTATGTCCAGTCTTTTTTAGTAGCCATTTGGTCACAAACACTGGCCAAAGTTAGCATTAGTATTTGTTTGTGTGTGAAAAATGCAAAAAATGCCAATTTTGGCCAGTGTTTGTGACTAAGTGGCTACTAAAAAAGACTGGACATACCCTGTTTGCAATACCTTGGGCTGTCTACTATTGCAAATGGTATGCCATCATAGGGGTAATTTTCATTCTTGGGCTACCATAGGGTCTCAAAGGCAACGTAACCAATCTGGTGAATTTTAATGTGAAAAAAAATGAAACACAAGCCTTATATTTGACGCTGTAACTTTTGAAAACACCATAAAACCTGTACATGAGGGGTACTGTTGTACTCGGGAGACTTTGCTGAATACAAATATTTGTGTTTCAAAACAGTAAAAAGTATCGCAGCAATAATATCGTCCGTGTAAGTGCTGTTTGTGCGTGAAAAATGCACTTTTACTGGTGATATCATCGTTGTAATACATTTTACTCTTTTGAAACACTAATATTTGTGTTCAGCGAAGTCTCCCGAGTAGAACAGTACCCCCCATGTACAGGTTTTATGGTATCTTGGAAAGTTATAGGGTTAAATATAGTGCTAGCAAATTAAATTCCCTTTACTTTCGGCATGGGTTGTCAGGCAGGTTCCGCTAATTGTAATTAATTAAGATACCTAATTATGTAAAAATATTACATAAATATATATGTAGAATTAATATATGTATATATATACGTATGTGTATATATATATGTATATATACATAATTTTTTAAAAATATTTTTATTTATATATAGGTATATATTTAGTGATATATACGTATATATTTATGTATATAGATATATATATTATTTCGTTCTACATATATTTTGATATAAATATATATATATATATATTAATATCACAATACAGTTAGAACGAAATAACACACATCTATATATTTTTTAATTATTTATTTTTAATTATTTTTTTTATTTTATTTTTTTATGTATTTACATATTTTTTTATTATATATAAATATATATATAACAATAATTATATATATATATATAATCAGTATCAGTCTACGTGTAATTTGATATTAATATATACATATAATTATATATATATTAATAGTAAAATACACCTAGACAGTGTATGTATGTATATGTGTATATATATACTTAGATCATATATATATATATGATCTAAGTATATAATTATTTTTTTTTACACTTATAAACTTTTATTTAATTTTAATTCAGCCAGCAGGGGGACTACCTGCTGGCAATACAGCAGCCAGCTATCCCGGCCATGTGATTGTGAGGTCCTCGCAAGGACCTCACTCTCACATGGCCGGGGGGGGGGGCTGCAGGAGAGAAGATGTGCCGCGGGGTACCGGGTAAGTACAAAAAAAACGGAGGCATTTAGAGCCGCTTAAAATAGGGCGTAATAGTACGCCCTCCCGTCTTAAGGGGTTAATGGGTTAACTTTTAATTGTATGTTTACTAAACATTCCAATGACAGAGATGGCCTTATTTTCATTTCATTTACTAACACATGCAAACGTGCACCTGGCTCCGTCAGCTGATAGACAGACACCCTGCCTAGCTCATGTTGGAGTTATAGTTTTCAATTTTAAGTTATCTTTTCCATCTCTATATTAGCACACTATGTTGGTGCAACGCTTTATTGGGCTGGTAGAGAATTTTTTTTCAGGCCTGCTTTTACTTTCCAGTCTGGCCCTGATTATGAGCCTTGAACTTCAGCTCCATTAGGCCCTATGTTAATTCGGCACAGACTGTCATTAAATTCCCTATTAAATCAATAAGGTCTTTTACTACTTATACATTTACTGAGCTACTGCAGGCTCAGAGGGGAGACTTACAGGTTAGAATATAGTACATGCAAAAATTTCTCTTATTTGTTTCATTCTATTTCCTATTTATTGGTGTTATGAGAATCCAACCTGTACTCAGAACAAAACAAGAATATGTTTTTCAGTTACATCTCGTACATCTGTTCACCTTGGGGTGAGTGTGTTAAGGTCTTGCAGATGATGTCTCATTTCACTGATAACAGCAGGAATCTCTCCATATGTGGTTACTGGGGCAATAAACAAAACCTTGAGAGAACAAAACTCAGAGGCAGCAGAAATGTTTTATTTGGTTGAAATATTATTAGCATCTTACTTAGTCTTTAAAGTGGGGGTAGTCTACTGGAAGTGACATCTAACTATTCTCTCTGTACTAAATAGTGTCAACCTAGATGTTGCTTGAATATTATTATATATATATATATCGCCATTAAGACATATGATTTTATTTTATTATATTGTATCTTTTACATTTGGTATGCCTTTAACTATAGAAGGATTGATGGAATTTCCATTTTCTATTTTTTCTTATTTATGTATATACTCCTCTTCGAGTATGGTTGTATAGGGTTAATTGATGTGAAACACAGCCCAATAAGAATGGAGGCTCTTCATCTTCCCGTGCCCATATCCTGCCCTGAATTGTAATGGCGGAAATATGACAAAGCAGGACTAAAAGAATATATATGGACTACGGGAATGACCTATGAGGAGGATACACCTCGAAACCGGAAGTGACGTCACATGCACGCTACGTCGTGCGCGATGACGTCACGAAAGGTTAGAGCATGCAGCACTACACATGCGCATGACGTCATCCGTGATTGGCAGTATCACGGATGATGCAGCCCTAACTCCTCCTATCCAGGAAATAAAAAAGAAGATCGGCGGCATGGACAGTACCGATTGAGAAAGCTGAGGATCAGCGAAACGCGTCTCGGACAATTAGATTATATATTTTGTCTGTTATTTTATATATATTTTTATTTATAATAAATACTTGTTAATCTTTTAAAACTTGAAAAATTGTCCATGCTGCTATAAAGAAGGGCAGTGACACCTTATATTGTCACATCTACTATTTTAACTCAGAGCCCAGTTCAAGGCTCTGGACAAGGTGAGAAGCCTTATTTTGCTTTATTTATATAACCTCTGTTTGGGAATTCTGCACCAGAGAAGTCCTTTTTTTTTTCTTCTTTCTGTTTGAGGTCTACATCTGATATGGATGCTATAGGTGTGTGTCACCTTTAAGTACACATAAGTGGAAGAGATCAGAGCCGGTCCTCAAGTGGCTCTGTACTATGTGAGTGGATCCATTATTGGGATTATTCACACTATTCTCTCTCTAATATACTACACTATATATTGTTTGTTTTATTCCCTTGTAGGGAACTTACTATATAATGTTGTAAACCCTTAGGGGTAAGTGCTAATTTTACTCAGCGCTGCACATTTTGCTCTGTATACCTGTTGGTTTTATAGTGCACTTTTTTTAACTAGATGTTGCTTTCAGCCTAGATTCTGACATTCCCCTTATCACAAAGTCGTCGCCTTCATGGAACGTAATGGAAAGGCCCAGGATTATATTGCTAAACTGTCCTCTTTTATTAATATCAAATTTCTAGTAGCTGTTTGACTGTGATCAATTTATTTCAATTCTCATGTCTACTTTGTGCATATTGTTCATGACACAACCCACACAAACATCGCAGAGGACTGGGGGTGAGTGGTTGTTGGATAAAATAATCCACTCTGGGTTAAAACATTGACTGTTTTGGGCTAAATTACTTCCTATCTTGCCAATCAGCGTAACCCTACCCACTTCTTAAATCTACCCACATCGTATCCCTGCGAAAGTAGATTGTACGCAGAAAACAAATAATATGTTGCTGTTTCAGTATTTATTGGGCTTATTAAAATTTTAGATTCTCTCAGAGCTCATTTCGTTTCTGTGGTTATATATACTGATGTTCACAATTAACAATGACAAACACCCTGAACCTGGATTAACTTTGCAAGTGTGACTACATACAACAAAGGATTATGTTTCTAAAACCATTAAGGTGAATGAGTTGCTCAAGGTATAGTGGGTGCCAGGAACAAACAGCATGTGATCTACTTCTTTGTGAAGTGATACATGTATTTTTATACGAGTGCCTCTAATATTTCTGAGTTGCATG